TCAGCTAGGTCAAGTTTTTGCCTAACTAATGCCTCTGAACTGCGAAGAGCATCAACTGCAGTTTCTAATTTTAGTGAGCTTTGTAACTGTAAGCGATCACTAAGGTTTTGATCATTCATTCCAACGATAAGTTGCATGAGAATCATTTCATCCCTTAAATCTCCCCAGTTGCATGGTTTTGCAAGAGTATGTAAGTCTGTGATGAAATTTTCAGCAGACTCTGAGGATCCCTGTTTTCGTCTAAGAAATTTAGCACGCTGATAAATTATGTTTGTTTTAGGAACGAAATGGTTTTCGAATTTTCCCATAATCAATTCATAATTTTCCAACTCATCAGGGCTTAGATTAAAGGAATCAAATATTTCCTCAGCCTTATCCCCCATACAGTAGCAAAGAATGTCAACTTGCCTTTTCCCAGGTGCTTTATGTAGATCGCTGACTGACCTGTACCTTTCAAAGCGTTTCTTCCACGCACTCCAATCATAGGGGTTGAAGGAAAAATTGTCTGGAGGCTTGACATGGATTTGATTTCTTTGAAGTCTGTTCTCTTCAATTTCCTGTTGGATCTGTAGGTTTACATCAGACTGCGCCATGTATCACGACCGTCTATACTTCTCGTGATAATAATACTTAGGAATGATCTAAATTGGTAACATTTTATTTGAACATGTCTTTTGTAAGAAGTCTCTAACACTAATAACAATATTTGTTTACATCTGATCATAATAATATAATATCCTAAATAAAACACATGTTTTATTTACAGTCTTGAAACAGTCACACCGTGCACGCTGGGCCTTAGTGACTAAGGCCAACATATTCCTCAGACACAGCTGTTAATTAATAGCCCATACAGCTAATGGCAACTAAGGGACCTACAGTTTATAGTGGAATCCGAACCACATTTTTGCCTTGGTATATACGAATTTGTCTAATTATCAGGATAGTACTGCGGATAGCTCTAATACTAATAGATAAAACAATTATCACTTAAACGTGTTTTTTTCTTCTAGACAAGCAACAAGAATCATCTTTCAACTCCCATCCAACTTCTGAGCAAACTATCAGAGAACAACTCATCCAGTTCATCTCCATAGGATTCCAAATTAAATCAGGTAAATAAATACTCTACACAAATATACCTGTATCAGTCTCTATTTCTTTCTGTGGCGATGGGTAAGTGGCAACATTTCTAATGTTTAGTTAACCAGCATAACAAAACTTGTAACATTGTGATTCATCTTAAAGAATATATTTTTATGATCTAAATAATCCTATAAGTCAAAGGCACTGACTTAAAACTAAACGGGATTAAAATCTTGTCGTACGAACATAAATATATACTATGTAACATTTATTATACATGAATTTAACCGGATGGGGTTTTTGGCATCTAGGGACATCAAAACAAAAATGTAAATCGGTCTTGAGTCTAGGTCTTGCCCTGAGACCTAGGGTAATAGAAAATTCCTAAATGGGAAATTTGCTAAAAAAACAAGTACGTTCAAAGAATTAGTGTAAATTGCAATTTCCTTTGAATCTTCAAGACTTTAGAGCAGCATCATATAAATTCCGACAACAGCTGTTGTTCTTAAGCTAACAGAAAACCCTGAAAGAAGGAAGCCATAACAATATTCAAGCAAGAAGCAAGGGCCCAAACAGAAGGCAGAAAGATGACATCCAGTTCGCTATAAATTTGACCAACAAAATAATATCCCTACACAATGCACAGACAAAACTGTAGGATTTTCATATAGATTATTGATGGGAATGTAAATGAACTAGTGGCTTGTAGGGACATAAGTCCCTAAAAAGCTCAAATGTAAAACAACTTTTTGCAATACCGGTATTTAAACAAACTCAGAATAACATTATCTATGTGTCAGAATAGGCATCCCTACACCATATCTTTTGTGTAAAAACCAGTTTGTTGTTCTTCTTTGTTTGCTTTTGTTGATGTCATTTTCAATAAATAATTTGAATCACTCCAGTGGTTTAACATGAAAAGGCAGCAAACATATCATTGTTTGTGAATAAATACTGGTTTACTAAGGTAGCTTTGGTCTTGTGGTTAATGAGGATAAATAAAAGCTTCCCTGTTTGGAATTTTAAAAATTCATTGGAGGTTCGCCTTCAGATGAATTGAAGACGCCTGCAATTTCATCTGCAGTAGGCTTATTATACCTACGACGATCCATATTTATCCTGTCTACAAACCTAAGTTCTAATTCACTGTCACCTTGTACAACCATTTCTTCCGAAGCTCTTTTGTAAATTTGTGCAAATGGATTTTCTAATAGAATTTCAGCTAGTTTTGACAATATTTCAGGTTTTAAGTCACTATTTTCTCGACGCCTTTGACGAATTTCTGTTGCTGTTTGATGTGTCGATAATGTACAATTGGCCATACACGGGGTCTTCATCATGTTGAGGCAGCAAATCTGAGATTGAACGATAAATCTGTCCTTGAATTTTGAATCAGTATGGTCCTTTTCCTGGAATATTTTTCTTACTGGCTGAAAAATAAGCAAAAGCCATCGCACTGTTGCATTGTCGAATGAATTTATACAGTTGTGGGCTCTCTTCAAACAAACTTTTAAGTTCTACATTAGTTTTTGACTGAGGAAGGTTAATAAGTCCGTTATGGCAACATGTCATAAAATGATTATTCGTTAGTTCTTCTCTAAAATGAAGAGCACTACATTGAATGCACTCTTGGTCCAATAATCCTGCATCATGGATCTTTACATTTCTCTCGTCTACCATGGGTCTCCTAAAAAGGGGTTATAACATATCTTGATTAAGTTCGTCATTATCTACTCTTGCTCTCCTACGCGCACTGTCATTCCTATGAACAGTTCCCCGCCTTTGTGGTATTCCCCTGGCGTTCATATTAATTACAGTACTTATAATGAAAAGAATATATATCCAGCAGCCTACATACCAAAATATCTTGAATCCCTGGTGATTTTATAAAAGTATGATCGAATATGATTACTCTACGTTGTATATTCACTGCACTAAAAAAATTTACTTACGAAGGAATGCAAATACACCATTTTAGAACCAATAACATTTATAGGTTATTTTAGTTGTATATATTTACACAACCTTAACCTTAAAATGTGTAGAAATATAAAGAAAACAACATAATTTAAAATAAACTTGAACATATGATTTAAAAATAAAAACAAAACAGAAGTTAGATTTAATTTCCACTCTTTGATTATTTATACAGAATATTTATTTTATGTCGTTTATTCCTTTAACACGACAATAACGTAAAAGCATGAAAAAATGAAACTTGAGTATATGATTTAAATATAAACAAAGAATGCAGACGTTTTTCCGACTAATCTTCAATATTTCAGTTTTATTATAGTATACATTTCATAGTTGACTGGCTAAAAGTAAACCAAATGCGTGTATTGATCACTGTTTTCAAATCTGTGGCACAGCTGTTTTAATTTCAAAATATGTAAACAAATTAAACCCCATGTTGTTTTAATGGGAAAAGTTTTATTCTGTTGCGAATTTATGGTAAAAAAATAAGAAAAATGAATAGTTTTCCCTCAAAATTGACGTCAAGACCTTTAAAATAAGACCCCTCCCATCCTTCTACGGCCCAATTAGTCACTCACAATTTCTTTACAAAAATTTGACTTACGGAATTATATATATAGATTCATCAGGTGGGTAGGCTACTACACAGTAGACACCCTCTAATTCTGTCACCTTTTAACCGGACACAGCTGGACTAAACTCAGCAGAAGTGACATCTCTGTAACCTGATAATGTTTATTAGTACTTCAGTCAGACTGGATTGAATTGAATCGGCAGGAAGTGGTGACTGACTAATATGTTGTTGTATTAATAGTCAAACATCCCATCTATATGGATCAGCTGTCGCCAAGTTTTTACTAAAAAAAGAATGTAGTTGTGTGAGCCAGTCACATATTGCACTAGTGTCTAAAACTCTATTTTGTACCTTATTTTTCGTTATTGACAGTTGCTGGGTCACAACAGTTGCTATAGCTCATAATAAGTCATTCCATCAGTTTGACTTGGTAAAAACCATCATGTAAGTGGCAGAAATCAGTAATTTAGATCAGCGCAATCTGTAGGTGGCTCACATCAACTAAGACAAATTTCATTAAAAACCTGGACAACTTTAACATGGGGATGGAATGTCTAGTTGTTGTATTAATAGTCAAATCCAATACTAAATAAACTAAATTGTTGTGACTCATAAAGCTGGGAGGCAGTCGAAAATTAGCTAGTATTTTACTAGTTCACTGTGGCCTAGGGTTAGACCAATTGCTGTTGATATTTTGATTAAAAATAAGTGGTTTAAATACCTGTATTATTAGTAATTTCATATAGTTGTGGTGACAACTAGTTTTACAGGCATTCTAACCATTTTTATAGATTTGAATATCTTGCATATCTTGGAGGCTACCTACCTTGAGAATAATATTCTGATTTGTGTACCGGTACTGTATAACTAGTAGTAGGTAGCAAATTTGTGGAAGCTCTTCCCATGTCCCCATTGATTAAATCCCTTCGAGATTAAATTGAAATAAGATGTGTTCTAAATAAATGGGGTGACTCTGTGGGCAGAATTTTAGAAATCCATCACACATCAGACCTTGTAAAAAAAAAAAACTGTTTACAATCTCTAACACTAGAAATGCTTTGATGGGGAAAAAAGAATTTCGGCTCATCAATTTTTCCTAGCAGGACCCAAGTCTACTGAAAAAGGGCTTTTTCAGTAGTTGTGAGCAGGACCTGCCTATTTGATTTATAATGCTACAAATACTAAGGAAAAGGTAACTTAATAATACTGAATTCACATTAGTCTCATACTTAATGTTAAAGAATGCAGCAAGGGTTTGGTACAAAAAAAATTACTTGATAAACAAATATTTAACTTTCAACGAATAAAATATACACAGTATAGCACACAAATCTACATCTAAAGAACATTACATTAAAACGAGCATCACAAAATACTAAATGAAGTTAGCTTAAACAAATCTTAAATGATAGTAAAAATATGTTTAATTGATCAAATTGAAACTTAACATTTAATTTTCAATACTTAAGGACTTAAAGTACACCCTAACAAGTATAGTTATAAAAATGTATTTTAAAGGTACTCATGTGTATAAGGATGGTAAGATGATTTACATTATTCCTTTCAATATTGCTATGTATGCGGCTAAACTTGATGCCCAAAGGAGAAAAGGCAGCCAAGTCTTGATCCAAGCACCAACACTGAAAAGAAATATTTTTGTTTTAAAACATTTCTTAAAACCAAGTGAAATTCAAGAATAACAAAAACAATTTCTCGGGTTCTATTCACTAAGGGTACTTAAGGATGTGTTTCTACATGCAGTCATGACTTTGGTAGCCTGTTCCTGCAGCTTGTGACAGCAGTCGCTACAATCCGTGATGACAGCCACTAGGGTTAGCAACCAAAATGTAGATGTCATTCGTCAAGATGTTATTGCAGTTGGCGAGCTTTTATTACTTTTGGTGAAACGTAGCAGGATTTATTTTACTGGTTTCCAAGGCTGCGTAAGAAGATATGTGCCTAAGTAAGAAACACATTGTTTTAGTATTGTTGTGCAGAGTTAAAAAGACAGTTCACATAAGAGATTGTTAAGGGCTGCTTTATTGTTTATGAGGAATAAAGATTTAGATGATGGTGTTTTTAATATTTTAGGGAATTAAACTCCGAAGACTAGTAAGCCATATTTTGATTAGTTTGTAGGCTATAAAAGAGAAAGTGAGGGTGCGGTGCGTATACATTATTAGTTTGTAGGTAACAGCTAGACAGCAAAGTTGAGTTCAAAGAATACTTCCAATTAACAAGGAGACAGTTTTATAAAATACTAGCTGTACCCGCGGGCTTTGTCCCGTTTAACTTCACAAGTGAGCTCGTTCGCTCTGCTCACTTGCCTTCAGGTTAGCTCGTTCGCTATGCTAACTCGCTTCCAGGTTGAAGTTTGTTCGCTACGCTTACTCACCTTTTGGTTGCAAATTGGCTGTAGTCATAAATTTAAAAAAAATAAAATTGCAGCACCCTGTTGGTAATCCTTGTAACTTTAATGCTATTGAACATCATAGAACAGAACCAACTTGTTTAATTGAAACAGCTGTTAAGATTCATTAATCTATATCTATAAAAGAGGAACTATGTATGACGTTGTATGTATATACGTTATGGACTCCAAAACCGCTCGACAGATTGTAATGAAACTTTCAGGCATTATTAAGCATCTTTCAAGGATGGTTCGAGTGAAGTTTGGTGCAGATCTGTCAAAAGGGCTCTGCCCCAGAGGGTTTTAAGTGGGCCAATGTCAGACTTTTTGATCTACAATGTTTACAAATAAATATAATTTAAAAGCAGATGTTTACTTTCACCAACTGTTTTGTAGGTTTGAATAATTACAACATTCTGTATTAGCATTAGTCATTGAAATAGTGCCACAGTATTTCTAGAGAGTGCAGCACAGAAAACTATTTTACTTTTGAATAAGTCCAAATGTATTAAACCCCAATCGCAGCACACCTGTGCACTTAACAACGTTTAAATTCTCCAATGTTAAATATTAAAACATAAAAACCTTTATCAAAGTATTATAAACAATAAAAGGGATGACTTTTTAAAATTTATGACAACAGCTAATTTGCAACCAAAAGGTGAGTGAGCGTAGCGAACGAACTTCAACCTGGAGGCGAGTTAGCGTAGCGAACGAGCTAACCTGAAAACAAGTGAGTGTAGCGAACGAGCTCCAACCTAAAGGTGAGTGAGCATAGCGAACGAACTTCAACCGGGACGTGATTGAGCCATGCGAATACTTATGAAGTTAAACGGGGCAAAGCCCGTGGGTACAGCTAGTTCCTTTTAAATATGAAAAATCATAAGGTTAACATGGGAAACTCCAGAGCCACTGGGGCGGAGCCCGAAAGCCTGATCAGAATAAAACCACTTAGTTTTCCTATTTAATGCCCAAAGAATCGGTGTACCGAATTTCAGCCTCCTAGGTAAATGGGAAGTGGGAGAATTAGTGATGAGTGAGTGAGTGAGTGAGTGAGTGAGTCAGTCAGTGAGAGCTTTGCCTTTTATATATTTAGATTACAGTAGACCCCCTCTTAACCGACCCTAATGGGACCGGACCTAGGTCGGATAACTCAAAAGGTCGGATAAAACGGGCAATCCCTAAAATCATAACATAATGAAGTGCTATTCATTTGGAATTATATAATCATTATTTTGAAGTCATACTTCCATTATTTATAAAATAAACTACTCTTATCTCCTTTTTCATATTGATAGAAAAGTCACAAATAAACACAAATCACAGTTAAGTCAAATAGGCCTACTTTCAGTGGAATATATTATTATATAATACTAGGCAACAGTCAGTAAAATTCCTATTTTAATAACTTTAATACTGTAATGTATTAATAGATGCTTTCCAAATACATCGTAATACAGTACAGAACCTTTTGTCGACATTAAAGATACAAGCGACCATTTTGTTACAAAACAGGACGTTTATTTATAGCCTCTCACTGGAGGCTCCAGGCACAAAAACTATCTTGACCTTGGAGTTGTTAACCCCCTTTCCCTGCCTTCCTTACAAGTTGCGTTGTTTGTTTACTCCGGCGATAAGATAATCAGTTCTCAAAATCGTAACGCACTTTATGATGTTATAAATTTGCCGCACAGATAACAAATCAGATCAGATGTGCTCGAGCACGATGATACGAAGCATGATGATGTACGAACGATGATGACAAACTGACAATAGGCTATGCTATATTTTTTGTGCTCAACACAAAATAGCTTATTGTTAGTCATATCCTGTGGAGATAAGCGTATGGTTCAGTTCTCATCGCCCAGCGTGGGAGCGGAAATGCCGAGATTCCTAGAAAGCGGCGGTTAAACCGAGCTGCTCTCAAATCAAGGTCGGTTAAAACAAACTGTATTATTTTACGATCGAAGGCGGATAATCCGATTATCGGTTAATACGAGGTCGGTTAAGAGGGGGTCTACTGTATATACATTATACTTTATACTTCCACCAAATGTCGCATTCCGACACCTTTTTGATGAGATTTTCATAGAACACAAAGAAAAGTTTACTTTTGTCCCTGCAAGGAAGTTCATGATTGCTCCATTGTGTCGGGTGTCTGTGTTGCTACGCAGCTCAGACTGACTGCTCCGAGAGAAGTCAGCCCAAGCCGCAGCATCTTTGATACTCAGTCAAGGAAACCGCATACATGAATCTTCGTAAGACAAGTGTGCTGCGTCTTGGTTACGCATACGCAGTGTATCTATTACGCGTCTAGCAAACCGTAGCCTGGACAGAGTGTAATGAGGCGATTGCTTCTGATCGTACACAGGTCTCCCAGTTAGGTCATGCCTGTGTGTACAGCCCTGGTGACACTGTATATGAATATAATGTGAAACAGTACCCTAGTGACTAGAGGTGATTCCAGGTTATCCCAGACATGAGAGCAAGCAACCAAGTCGCCCCCATGTGTACCAGGCCTAAGCCTTTGAACTCCATGGTTTATTCAGTATTTTAACTATGCCCATTAAAAAAAAAATTTTCTCATCAAATCAAATCAAGTGCCTCTAGTCTGTCTCATTTAAGGTGTAACTCAACAACACAAACAATCTACTTATTGTATTTCTTTATCTTCTACTCAAACCTATCTACCAAGCACTACCACAGACAGGTGAACCTTTCATGAGTTGACACCAGAGTTGTTTTATGACCTGTCCATGACTGGGTTCTAACACCTCCTGGCCCAGGTAAACACCACCACTATTGGTTAGAGCTAATAGTGCTGCACTGACAGTGGCTAGAGCCGTTGTAGAAAAGCGATAGAACTCATGTGTGATAGAACCCAGCAGCCAGCACACAGATGCAGGAGCATACTAGAGGTTTAGCTTGATCACAATCTAGTGCACCTTGCATGTGCCCAAGGCACCCTGGCAAGATGGCAACGGAAAAGCCAATATCATGGCAAGAAAGATTGTCCTTATATAGTGTAGGATATTCCAAAGTTCTAGACTGGGTGAAAGCTATGTCAGCAGGCCTACTCTGCACTGGAGTGCTGTAAATAAAGATTCATTTTTACTTTCTCCCACCATATACCATAGCATATGAAGAAAGTATTGTTTCAAATATTTTTTCTTGTCAAAGTGCATATTGCTTTCTATGAACTAAAACTAAACAAGGCTATTGCGTTATACTGATAATTGAAAATCAAAGAGATGAAAAATGTAAACACCATAACAATTCAAACTGTACTAAGTTATAACTGATGACACCCACCTGACATATTGACTTCGCAGCAATGACATGAGGGCTAGACTGACCATGTTCCAGTTAGAGCTGCCATTGTATTTCACTTTGTTGAGAGCCATTGCTACCATGGAGTGGCAGTTGTCACAGCATAAGTTGTGCTGAAATCACAAGTAAGTAGGATGTATTTGATCAAAATACAACTAGGATGTATCAGTGGCAGAGATAAAGATATTTGTCCCCCTATTCAAAATGTTTTTGGCGAGTTTTTGTATGAATGTAAAATCAAAGACCATTTATAATCTTAGTAAATTTCAGACAACCCCTTTTTTACTCAATAATTGTATCATTGTGGAGATGGGGACACCACCTATAGGTGTGTATTTTAACCCAAATATGAGTGAAGGATAAGTGTACCTTTGTTACTTAGATCAGCTGTTTCTTTGGCCAGGATCATTTATTTAAAGCCCAATGGTCAGGAACAGCTAGGTTCATAATGGAATCCACCTTAGGCGCCTAACCCGTCTCACCTATTGTGGAATACTTGGCTCACTTATTAGTTTACTAACTGTACCCGTAGGCTTCGCCCCGTTTGACTTCATAAGGAGGTCCTCAGATTGGAACTAGCTTGCTAACCGCAACAGAAGCTCAAGTGTAACGTTAATTAACAGGCAACAGGCAGCCCCTGTAATATAATTATATGGAAGTGAATGTTTGATAAACTGTACAAGATTCTTTCAAATTATCAATTAAATGGGTTTTGAATGATTGCTTAGTAACTCACCATGCGCCCCTTATACACCTCTGCTGCCTCAGCTATAGCCCTGTCCCATGCGGCCGCCCCGCCTGTTACTTTATCAGGGTCTAACTGCCAGTACTTGGTGGGATTGCCAAATGCCATGTTGTCTTCACTGACATGGTATGGTCCGGCAAAGTCTCTAATAACCCCGTGCGAAGTACAAATACCCATGTGACCAATGAACGGAAACATCCATCTAGTAAAAAACAAATTGATTAGGCCTAAGCATGTTCGTTTTAATTGTCAAGGCGTTTTTTCAATCAGTTACTGTAAGCCCAGAGTAAAAAAATAATAGTCCTAAGAAACTACAGTGCCCTTAAACCTAATTACAGCACGCAATTGCTATCAGGTTGAACTAGATTAAAAGTTGTCAAAGAACAATCAATCAATCAATCAAAGAACTACTATGACTTATTTATGCTATTAGAGCTTTGAAGTACCGTAGCCTACCATGTGAATGGCCAAGTCAAATTCTGTCTGTGTGGTTTATATCAATACTATTAACAATGGGGGTTAATAATAATACTAGCAGTTACCCGGCATGCGTTGCTGCGCATAACAACTAATATTTTAAATGGTGGCCTATTTTTTTCTTTACAATGAATAATAAAAATGTACTGGGATACCAAAAATAAAAATAGACTATTTAACTTAATTTCCAGTGACACAAAGCAAGACACAAAAAGAAATTGTAGTTGTGACAAAGGAGAACGAGCGAAAGTGTGACCAACAATCCAACATCAAGGGATCAGTTTATTTGAGAAGGTGATTTTAATGTAGGCTATGTATCAAAAAATGTTTACATAAAAAAAGAGTAAATGTAGGCAAATGTTTTGTAGTTTAACTTAGGCCTATTAAAAATTTTGCTTTCTCACAGTCACCAGACAAAGTGGGCTTCCTTGCATAGATTATAGTAGGCCTACAGAAAGCCTTACTTTGGCGCACACCAGTTTTCCAACCAAACAACGTGCATTTATTATGCACATAATCCGTGTACCCTTAGGCCTAAAATAAGGTGGCAACACTTAACTTAAAGATATTATGAATAACTTAGGCCCATACAATCAGCTGGTACAGTGTTTCCCATTTTGTTCAATGTTTGGATTGAACCTACCTAAAAACTAGTTGTAAAATGTTTGAAAAGACTAATTATTACAAATATGATTTTATAAGTTAGTAACTTAGGCTATCTGGAGTGATACCTTTAATAAAGATACCTTTATTAAGCGCGCTGCGGCAGTTATTTTAGGTTGGGTTATCATAAATGGAAAGAATGTACTTAAGTTAAATCGACTTTATGTCCATATTTGACATGATTACAATTAGCGGCCTTTGAGTTCTGCCTCCCAGAAGGCAGCAATGTCGGCGAGGATTGAGTTGAATACGCCAACGCCGCTAGCTGCCACACTCCAGATACAGGCGGTGACAGGTGATGCGTGTGGTCCGGTCAACCACGGGGATTTGGTGAGTGAAAGTATGATTCATCAGGTTTTGTTTGATTCAGAATGAAACAAAGAAAGTCCTACAAACATATTTATGACAACCCAACCTAACATAACCGCCGCAGCGCGCTGTATAAGGGTGGCTTACCAGATAATACGGAGGACACCTTTATTAAGCTCACTGCGGCAGTTATTTTCGCATGTAAAATGCTGATCAAGAAGTTATCCAGATAATACCAAAGTACCAAAAAATTTAATGTTTAACACAAGTGCAAACTGCCTTTGCTGCACTCGAGAAACTTTCCACACTCGCCTATGGCTTGTGCGTAAACATTTCTCTCGTGTGCAGCAAAGTGCCACTTCGCCAACTAGTTATACAAATAACTATTTAAGATATTGTCTTAAAGGCTAGTGGTCAATTTGTAAAAATGTTGACTTCATAAGCTGTACGATCTGTTTCACAAACACAAAGACTATAGGCTAATATGTTACCGGTAGGAATATAAGTTAAAGGATCTGATTTTTGTTTGAAGGCTTCTTGGCTAAAAATTCATTGTAGTTTACTTACGTTACGTTTTACAAGAATTGCAGTTTACTTACGTTAGTAAAGGAATTGGAGTCCATACTATGCAAAACGGAAATCTGTGCCTTTCAACGTTAACATCTGGATATTGTGTCATTTCACTGGCATCTAATTTCTCCTCGTCGCAAGACATTAATGTTAATAAAGTAATGTAAACAGTATCACATTACGCATCGGATGGTTGGCAAATTTTGAGTTGAAATAAACGCAATAGGTATTTAAAAACTCAGCACTTCAACCAACCACTGATAAACACAAGCAACAAGCAAGCAAGATCAAGATTCAAGATAACAATACCTAACCTCAAAATATTGTGAGCGTTTGACTTTGACAGCTGGTTTTGAGGCTGCAGACAGCAATGACAACAAATGTACTTTTTTTTAAACACCAGGGAGACTTTCAGCGCAACATTGACAAAATAGGCCTAAGGTAATTTATATTATGTGGAAGTGTTTTAAGACAAATGTTAGTGTCATTTTTTACAACTGATGCACGGCCGCCTGTTAAAGGCGGCCGTGACTGATGAATGGTCTGACATACGCTGCTAACTACTCAAACAACTTATTATTCTGTTTCGTTTAGTTTTAATTCGTAAAATATGTTTTATACAAAATCGTAAGCAACTTATTCTAGCATCCAAGGAATAATAATGTTGACAGTTTGTAAACGTTGTGTACCTAAACCTACAGATAACCCTTTTTATCTAAAAGCGATTAAAACAGTTGTGGATCCAGGACATGAAGCGGGGGGGGGGCAGGTCGGATTATAAGGGTAACCTTCCAGGGACCAAACCCCCGGGAATTTTAGGAATATTTGAACTAAAACGTCATTTTTAGACAGCCTAGAAAGAACTTGATCATTTTTTGCAATATAAACCTGTATAACATATCACTAATTAATTTTTGTTCTTATATTCTCGATGGGGGGTGGGGTAGGACAAAAGGGGCAGTTGCCCCCCCCCCCATTGGTTGGCCACTCGGTCAAAATGTGATGGACTTGAGGATGAGCTTTTTTGTCCGTAGCGTAATCTTATCTTTCAGTTTGTCATGAGATGTCTTGATCGTTTATCATCAAAAATATAACTATTGTTCAGTATTTAAAATTTAGTTCGTCTAAAATCAGCGGCTGTGAACTTGACTTAGCTTATTGTTATCAAAAATAGCCTGTTTGGTAGTTATTAGCTCATACATCGCTTTTTTAGGGCCAAAACTGTATCATGATTCATTTTTGTGTATGGCCATTCACTTTAAAACCTTAAAAATCAACCCTAATCTGTATATTTACTATTTAGAGATTTTAAAACTAAACCTACATCATCACTAATGTTGTAGTGTGATTATATATTCGCTTAGAACAGTTATTATGTGTATTGAACTACCTACTCATTTACAATAATCTATATATTAATACGCAAGCAGTTTTCTTTTCACAGTCATAACTCGATAATGGCTTAACGGATTTTAACGTATGAGGTGTCAAATTAAACGTATTTTCACGTATATGTGCAAATACGTCTCAGAATATTGAGAAAGGGCATCACTTAAGTACAGTTAAGGGCTAAAGTTTGGGAACGGTGTCGCTATCTTTTGACATTACATCAAACCATCAAACTCGATTCCCTTTGTTTACAACTATAAACATATGGACGTAATTTGAAATAGTTTAACCACAGACTGCAGGACTTATTACATCCAGAGCAAAGCCGGAATTTTACATTTTAGCGAATTTCCCATATAGGGAATAAGCTATTACCGTAGTACTCATGGTAAGACCTGGACGCGGGACCGATTTTTTTTTCGTTTTGAGGTCCCTAGAGGCCAAAAACGCCATCCGTTCAAATTCATATATATATATATATATATATTTATATATTTATATATTTATATATTTATATATATATGTGTCCGTCAGCACGATAACTCAAGCAAAAATGATCCGATTTTGATGAAATTTGGTACAAACGTGTAAACCTACGTTTATTTGAACGAGTTCGCGATCCAGCATGATTGGACCATGGGAACGGGTGTTTACGGGGGGTTTATATGGGGTAAAAATAGGTTTTTCCCATTTTTGACCCAAAAAACTTAAAATTTTGCAATTTATTTCCAAACCATTTTGTAGAGCTTAAAAAAACAAATAATTTAGTATATTGAAGCGTTATTATGCGCTTAACGGTTACGGAGAAAATTCCAAAAAATTGTAAATTTAAAATTCCCATGTTATTCTTATGGAGAATAAGTAAACTGTTGTAGTTTGCTTGTTTATGAACGTATTTTGATCAAATTTGGAAAATTATTTTATTTCTTACTAACTATTAACATTTTACAAAAAAAACACAATTTTACCCTCCCTGATGCAGCAAACCTAAGTACTTGTTAAACTAATTCTATTTAAATTGGGAATAAATGTTATATTTTTAAGTAGACATTTCAGTGTAAATCCAATCAGTCAAATGGAAATTCGCTTAGTCTGCAGGTTTGCTGCGGCGGGGGTATTTCCAGTATAAGACTTGACAACGAATTTTTTGTAATAGTTGAATCTATTTACCTTACATCGTATTTTACTGAACCATCATGTAGTTTTGGTTACAGTTCGGTGTGATTAAGTGAATGTTTGAAATTGAATGTTTGAAAGTGCAGTTACCCGTTTCATTACCATATTATCATGTAATTTACAATGTGTATCAAAATTCCTTTATAGTGCTTTCTGTTGATTGGTTAACTTAAGTATTATATTTAAATTTAAAATGAAATGCCACCAGTAAAACGAAGAACTGTGAGTGACTGGAGGGAACGAAAACGTGACCGCTTGCACCAACCTCCCAATTTGACGGATACAGAGTAGCAGTACTGCCGTGGTGATACATCCAATCTCAGACAAATGAACATTTTTACATTGTGTGGGATTACATTTTGAGCAAGAAAAGAATGGCCGAGACGGTTCAATTTTTACTCTTTGTTGCCATAAATGAAAGGTTCGTTTACCTAATTTGCGGAATTCATCATTCTTTCATCAGGAACTTATTGAGAACTCCCAATCTGAAAACAGGGCTGTGAGGCTTTGATCCAGAAATTTTTCGGATAAAGTTAGTCAATCCAATTCCGCCTTTACCATGGTCAGTTCTGAAGCTCATTTTGACGAGAGGTTCACACAGGGGATCAACAATTTTAAGATCCCCATGACAAGTTTTACCTCCGAGTAGGTAATCTAATTCCTCAAGAAGGTCATGATCCCGAATACGCATATAGATCTATAAGAACGACGTTGGCACTGAACCCAACAGCGCATGTAAAAAAATTCAAACAAATAATGCAATGAAAAAGTATGCGGGAAAGAGGGTCACAATGCCAATCCATTTGCCCAACCTTTTTAAACTGTGGCAGAAATTTGTAGGGACGAGATCTCCGAGGAGTCAAGTTAGATTCTTATGTGCATAAGAGACAAAAGAAGTGACTTCCCTCGCTACAATAATGAGTCTTAGGTTGGGGCACCTAATTTAAACACGCCTAAAACAGAACATATAGTAAAATAATTTAAAATAAGTAGGTGTCGTACTGGTTGGCGTCAAGGAAAAGGATAGCTTGCTACATTAGGTCTGAAAAGCTCACTTTACAGTGTGTGGTTGACATCTTCGTTCTCATAGTGGGCACCCACCTACATAAGAGATAACCAAATAAGTATGAGAACGGATCTATATTTAAATATTGTACCGTAGATTACTTTCATAATTTTTTCAATATTTATCACACTCCTATAAGTCATATAAATTACTTTAGAGTTACTTTGTGATTGAGGTATGGCTGTTCATGTTTTTTCTTCATTATTTTATTAAAGTTGCAGTTTTGCTCGATTTCGAGCAACAGGTTATCTAGTTTTGTTGATTTTAGAAACTGTACTATAAAGAGTAATTTACCTACCTCCAGGTCACACGTAATCAAAAAGGTAGCCTATCTATACTATTATATAAAAATCTAATGGTGTCTGTCTGTATGTGTATTACTAATAGGTGCAAAACTACTGAACCAACTGGGCTTAAATTTTACAAAAATATAGCTACCATACCAAGGACCATTATAGGACTATTCAAATTTCGATACTGACCGTAGGCTTTGCCCCTTAGGCTTTAAAAGTTCTGAGGTGATCATTTTAAAAGTAAATATTGATTGGTCTCCATGGCTGTGATGATAACACTAACAATGTTTGTTTACATTTGCTTTGACATTTAAACATAAACAAGAAGAACTGCTAAACTGCATATTTCACAATTTCAGACAGCTGATACAAAGACATTAAATATAATATTTTCCATAAATATGAGGTAGGTTTATTTTAATCTAACATTTATCATGGATTATTATCTAAATATATAAAAGGCAAAGCCCTCACTGACTGACTGACTCACTCACTCACTCGCTCATCACTAATTCTCCCACTTCCCATTTACCTAGGAGGCTGAAATTCGGTACACCGATTCTTTGGGCATTAAATAGGAAAACTAAGTGGTTTTTATTCTGATCGGGCTTTCGGGCTCCGCCCCAGTGGCTCTGGAGTTTCCCATGTTAACCTTATTATTTTCATATTTAAAAGGAATTTCTTAACAGCTGTTTCAATTAAACAAGTTGGTTCTGTTCTATGATGTTCAATAGCATTAAAGTTACAAGGATTACCAACAGGATACAGCACTATTATTTTTTTAAATTTATGACTACAGCCAATTTGCAGCCAAAAGGTGAGTGAGCGTAGCAAACGAACTTTAACCTGGAAGCGAGCGAGCGTAGCGAACGACCTAACCTGAAGGTAAGTGAGCGGAGCGAACGAGCTCCAACCTAAAGGTGAGTGAGCGTAGCGAACAAACATCAACCAGGACGTGATTGAGCCATGCGAACGAGCTCACTTGTGAAGTTGAACGGGGCAAAGCCCGCGGGTACAGCTAGTATATATATATAAAAGGCAAAGCCCTCACTGACTGACTGACTCACTCATCACTAATTCTCCCACTTCCCACTTACCTAGAAGGCTGAAATTTGGTACACTGATTCTTTAGGCATTAAATAGGAAAACTAAGTGGTTTTTATTCTGATCGGACTCTCGGGCTCCGCCCCAGTGGCTCTGGAGTTTCCCATGTTAACCTAATGAGTACTCATATTTAAATGGAATTAATGAATCTTAACAGCTGTTTCAATTAAACAAGTTGGTTCTGTTCTATGATGTTAAATAGCATTAAAGTTACAAGGATTACCAACAGAGTGCAGCACTATTATTTTTTTTAATATTTT